GACCCTGATGCTGGGAGGGATTGGGGGCAGGAGGAGAAGGGGACGACAGAGGATGAGATGGTTGGATGGCATCACCGACTCAATGGACATGGGTTTGAGTAGACTTTGGGAGTTGGTGATGGACAGGGAGGCCTGGTGTGCTGCGATTCATGGGGTCACAAAGAGTTGGACACGACTAAGTGACTGAAGTAAACTGAACTGATGGGGTCACAAAGAGTCAGACATGACCGAGTAACTAACACACAAAGCTTTAATGACTGGCGCTAAGTGAGTATTCACTTCAGGGTTCACAATCTAAGACAATTTGATAGAGACCACGTGTTTCTACTCTTTTATTCTTACATACCTAAAAATATTTTTCTTTTTGCCATTATGATTACTTGTCTTCTTTGGCAAAATATTGTTCCACAATGACTCCCTGGTTGAGAAATGTGAATAGGCAGATGGATGGGTTGATGGACAGATACATGGATGGATGAAGGGGTAGATGATTGACTTCTATGTTTACCATATTAAGCAACCATGTAGTGAAATTAATGCCCTTGAAAACATGGACTAATTGGTGACTAATCCTTAACACATGTTACCTAAGGCCTACCTTACTTTGACTGTGCACATCTTTAATTTCCAGTCATGAATATTTTCACTTGCTTTATTTTCCTTTAGAGGGCTTTCCTGGTGGTTCAGACAGTAAGGAATCTGCCTGCAATGTAGGAGACCCAGATTCCATCCCTGGGTCAGGAATATCCCCTGAAGAAGGAAATGGCCACCCACTCCAGTATTTGTCTGGAGAATTCCATGAACAGAGGAGCCTAGCGGACTGTGGTCCACGGGGTCACAAAGAGGGGGACACAACTGAGCAACTAAACATGCATTTTCCTTTAGCATCAATGCTCTAATGCATACTTGCAGATTTTAAAATGTTCTTTATGCTTCCTTGCAAAGTGTGCAAGTTGTTGGTCTGTAGAGTACTGACTCTCCATTGTGGGGCTTGGGAGTGTTGGTTATTAAATCTGAGTTTCCTCTGTTTCAGCACCACACAGAGTGTATACTACAACTATGAGGCCCAGAACACCGGACAAGCCACACATCAGACCTGGTAAGTTGTTTCTCTTTCTGATGATATAAATAATCAACATACTTAGGAAGATATGCTTCCCTGGTATTTCAGATGAGAAAGAGTCTGCCTGAAATGTAGGAGACCTTGATCAATCCCTGGGTCGGGAAGATCCGCTGGAGGGGGAAATGGCAACCTACTCCAGTAATTTTGCCTGGAAAATCCCATGGATGGAGGAACCTGTCAGGCTACAGTCCATGGGGTTGCAAAGAGTCAGACACGACTGAGTGATTAGCACTTAACTGAAAAAAAGGACATATAAAATGTATTGAGGAATTCCCTGGTGGTCCAGTGGTTAGGACTCCAAGCTTCCACTGCAAGGGGTGCAGACTTGATACCTGATCAGGGAACTAGGATCCTGCATGCTGTGAAGCATGACCAAAAAAGGAATGTATTGAAACAGCCAAGTGACCAAATGAGGGCTATATATCCTGAAATGGAAATAAATTACATACAAAAGTCTGATCCTTCTGGGTAAGTGGAGTGGTAATCATGAATCCATGGAAGCGACAAGACTTGACTGAAATTTTTTAAGGACAAGCAGATTCAGAGACCACTATGGAAATTTAAAAATATAAAATCATTTTGAAAATAGTATTTTTGCCTAAATCACACACACTCTCTCTTCCTCCTTCAGTTTCCCAGGGCAATTATAGAGATAACATTAGCAATAGCTATGATGTATTTTGTTTCAAATGTTATCTTTTAAGGAAAGATGATCTCTTCCAGTATGAAAGGCTCTTATTCTATAAGAATACTTTTACCTGGGTTGGGAAGGTCCCCTGGAGAAGAGAAAGGCTACCCACTCCAGTATTCTGGCCTAGAGAATTCAATCGTCTGTAGTCTATGGGGTCACAAAGAGTCAGACACAACGAGTGACTTTCACTTCATATAAAAACAAGCAAACACACATTTTACAGGTTGTATACATCAACAGTAAAATGATAGTTAAACTGGAAAAAAAAAACTTCTTTTTTGGCCACTCTGCAGTCTTGCAGGATCTTAGTTTCCCAACCAGGGATGGAACCCAGGCCCCAGCAATGAAAGTGCTGAGTCCTAACCACTGGACCACCAGGGAGTTCCCCAAATGAATTTTTTTAAAAAGGAAAAAAAAAAAAAACACCACCCTACAACAGTACTACAGGGTTCCTGACAGTGTCTGAAATATATAACTCTTTCCAATTAACTGATTGCTTCCGTAACAAAAGAAACATGAGGATACTTAATTTCTGACAGGCTTTTCTGGTGTATATACCTGTACACTAATAGCTAACTCAACAGTGTTATCTATTCCGAGATTCTTCATCAATGAGACTATCATTTGCTTCCAACATTCATACTTTAAATGCAAAGCTGAAGGAAGGAAAAGGCAAAGGAGTAGCTGAGTTTAGAAGTCAAAGAGAGAAAATTAAAACTGCTGTACTGTATCACCTGCTCTGCTTATGGGGAGTACATGCTCACAGGTAATTCACACACCTAGTAGCTGGTATGTTTTCATAAGAGCCTCATTGTCAGGCATCCTCCATTCAAGACAGTTCTGTTGTTCTCTTTCACTGCCCTTTCCAATACACACACACACACACACACACACACACACACTCCAACAAACATGAGCTTGCCACCTCTCCACAGCCTTACCAAGTGTGGAACGCTTTACTTAAAATTACACACATAACTGAAGAAAGAGAACTAAAATTAATAAGATAAAAATAATAGGGTACCTAATAAATAATGGGAAGCAAAGGGGGAAGGAAGAAAAGAGAGGTGGGAGATAATAAAAATTCCACTCCTTCCTTAGCAGGGGGTTAATAGCTATAGTTAAATTTGTGAACTCAAGTGTAGACTGTGGCAGCCTAAAAAGCAAGCTACACATTCTTTGACACTCTTCCCATCAAGTGGCTGGTCTAGATCCCCTCCTCTTCAGTCTGAGCAGGCTTTGTGACTGACCCAATCAACAGAGTTTGGTGAAAAGGAAGTTATGTAACTTCTGAGATTCGGTCATAAAAGGTCAAGCAGATTCCAACTGGTTCACTTGAGGCACTCATAGCTCAAGTTAACTGTATGTGTCCACTTGGAGGGTGTTTTGGGATGAGATTAACATTTCAATTGGTGAATTCTGGGTAAAGCAGACTGTTCTCCATAATATGAGTGGGCCTCGCCCAATCAGTTGAAGGCCTGAATAGGACCAAAAAGAGTGGCCTCCCTGAGCAAGCAGGAATTCTCCAGCAGACTGCCTCCAGTCTTCATCTGCAACATTAGCTATCCTGGATGTCCAGGCTGTTGCCTCACACCGCAGATTTGGGAAATCACCAACCTCCATAATCTTCAGCCAATTCCTTATAATAAATCTTTCTAGAAATACATGCACATCCTATTGGTCTGTTTCTCTTCAGACTCTGATTAATATCTGGGGAAAGCTGGTGGCCATGTAAGTAGAGAGACTACCTGGGGCCACCATGCTGAAGTTGCCACGTGTAGGTATTCCAGTCAACAATCCGTGCTGCGCCCAGTCTTCCAGCCATCCATCCCAAGGCCCATGGCATGGAGGTAAAGCCTTCCTGGACCATCCAGCCCAGCCAATTCACCAGCTGCATGCTACAGAGAGACCTCAGTCAATGCCTCAGGAGGAGGAGAAGCCAGGCCCTACCTGCATCCTTGACCCACGGAACACACATTACCATGAAACAACTGTCTAAGCCACTAAATTTTAAGTTCAATGATAACCACCAAAAGAACTAAAAACAGAAATAGTTTACGGTTATCACACTGGAGAAGAGACTGTGGCTGAGCTGGGATCAGAAAGGAGTAAAGGGTTTTAAGTTTTCACTTTAAACACTGTTTTGTTATCTGCATTATTCTTACTATGTATAGATATTACTATAGAAATTTAAACAATTTTAAATTAAAGAAACAACAGCAGCAAACACGTTCAGCACTTACTGTGTACCAAATTTCAATGTGCTCTCTGCGTTGTTTTAACTAACTTAATCCTCAAAATAACCCCCTGAGGGGAGTGCTTTTATTATCTCTTTTTAATAGATGGGAAATTGAGACACAGAGAGATTCAGTAACTGTATGAAAGGTCACACAGCAAGCAGCAGCACCTAGACTCAAACTAGCCAGTCTGGATTCAGAGCTATAACATTTCCACAAAGATTACTATGCTGGTTCAGCAGTCACAATGTCATTAAATGAAGGGCACAATCTCAAATTGCCATTCACCTGGGTCTCCAAGCATGTGACTAACAATGCTATCATGTGTCAAGCACTGCTGGACTTCCTTGCTTCTTCAAAGGCTATGAGCTAAACTGAAATGCCTTTTACTCTAGTCCCCACCTGTACACATTCTTCAAGGTTCAATCTGCCTAAACATCACCCAAATCTCTCTCTTCAGTGTTAATTTCCCCTACTTTTCCAGTGAGCCATTTTATCAGATATTTCTATCCTTCTGCCTCCAATTCAATTTTCTCTCTTTACAACTCCCCATCTGCTATGAACTAAATGAGGGTCTTCAACTCTGAATTCTCCCACCAGGGCCTTGCATAAAATAAAAATGTAATTATCACTTATTAAAGCTCACTGACGTTTGTTTATTCTAAATGAAAGTTAGTGGAGCAGCCTTCACCTTAGAGAAATTTTCACTGAATTTTATTTGAGAGCAAAAAGGAAGAGAGGGGTTAAGCACAATTCTAATCAGTATATACTACTCCTCAGTATATGCCCTAAACACAAATTTGTAATGTATATCAAATCATACAGTAGAATGTTCAAGTCACACTATTCCCCATGGACAAAATTTGGAAACTATTCAAATGCCCATCAACCCTAGAATGGATAAACTGTGGCATAGTCACAATGAAACACTGGAGAGTAATGATAATGACTGAACTACAGCCACATGCGACAACATGGCAATGTATCACGAACATAATTTTGAGTGAAAGAAGTCAGATACCGAAAACAAAACAAACAGGAAAACCACAAAAACATACTATATGATCGCATGTATATAGATCACCAGGACAGGCAAAACTAACCTATGGTTGAGACAGTAGTTACCTCTGGGAAGAGAGTATGACTGGGGGAAAAAAGGCATGGCATTGCTCTGTACCTTTATCTCAGTGCTGGTTATAAGTTTATGTTCACTTTGTGAACATTCATCAAATTATACACCTAAGATGTATATGTGTCTTATAGCTCAACTTTAAGAATTACTTTACAAGATGCATAAGCCAAGCCACCATGTAGCAGGCATAAAACACCCTGTAACATTTGAAACCAACTTGGCTTCATTCGATTTGAGGGCAGAAGAGAAGTGTGGTGGTTGTTGCATAATTTGCATAGCTTCAACTCTGCTCACTGAAATGTGATTTTTAGAACATGCACAAATAGTCCAACAAATGCCTAAGTGAAACATTTGAAATTTCTCACTGAGATCCCCTCTGCTGCTTCTGAATGTGCTCACTCTTCTCCATTTTAACACACTTCAGCTCCCACAAGCACTCCCTTTCAGGCTTTCTCCAATCCTTTCCTCAATTTCTTGAATTACCTCCAACTAGACCCGTTCCCACCCTCTTCCTCAGACCAGGGGTAAATGCATGAGCACCGTAGCTCAGGGACAACAGGAGAGCAGATGCTCTCTCACTGGCTTCCCTGATGGTTCAGCAGGTAAAGAATCTGCCTGCAACGCAGCAGACATAGGCGATGTGGATTCTCAGCACTCACCCAAGCAGGCACCTTACTCACCAAATCAATCCAAGTCTGAATGTAACCATCCTAATGGCTATTTGCCTGTGGTTTCTTTCTTTGGGGACAGTGGATACTTTAAAATCTAGAGTCCTTTTTTTCCCTCTAACACCTCCTCCTAAAACAAAGATACACATACATAAAATAGAACTTAACATTTGCTGAGGTAGAACCTCAACTAGACTGATTTGTGGACCTGGCAAATCTAAAGTGCAGAAAGTGTCCCAAAGCACGAGTGTGCCCTTCCCACAGGGATAAAATGCAGTCCTAATTTGTGTGTTTTTAAAAGAGGCAATTATTCCTCTACTGGAAGCCTCTCCTCCAGATACTGTAATCTCCAGAGGATAATGTCCAGAGGATAATGTCCAGAGGACAACCGATTCTTAATTTTTCTTCCACTGCTTCAGCAGCTACACCTTTCCCCAAATCTACTAACTGAAAAAGGACTGAAGTTAATAATCTGTCAGTTTTCTCATTCAATTTCCATCTTGAGAAAGCTTCACCTTAGAATGAGGGAGTGGGAGGCTGGGGGAAGGGGAGTGGGGAATAACTGATTAATGGGTAAGGCGTTACTTTGGGAGGTGATGAAAATGTTCTGGAATTAGATAGTAGGGATGCCTGCACAACTTTGTGAATACATTTATGGCACATTTGTCATGTGTCAACTTTTAAAATAAATAAAATGTGCGAAAGCCTAAGTTTTCTGTAGAGAAAGTTGGATGAAGCGAGCAAATAGCAGATGGACAGCTAAGTACCACCTAAAAACGAAGCTGAATAAATTCACGGAATTAAAAATGAGGAAACTGGCCCTGACTTTCCATTCAGCTCAGAGATGGATGGGATGAAGCTGGGGCAAGAAAGTGCACAATTACAGAACTGGGTAGTTAACTTTCCTTGTTGGTCTCCAAGCGTCTGTCTTGATATAATACTTCAATTAATTCGAAGAGACGAACCTCAGCAGAGACCATCTGCAGACAGCGAGCGCTGGGGGACGCCACAGATTGTTTTTAAGGCTCACTCGACAAAGCCCTCTCCAAGCCACCCCGGTGCAGCACAGTTCTTGCTGACTTGCAGGACCCGCCGCGAAGAGTTGCCTCTGAGAGTTCCACACGGACCGGATGAAGAACGGGCAAGGGGAGAACGCTGCTGTGGCCATGGGAAGTGGGAGGAGGGGGAGTTGAGGGTCCAAGTCTGCTTAAGGGCGCTCGCAGCCTCCCTCGACGACCACCAGAAACCCCCGGAGACTCCGGAAGCCCACGCTGTCCCGGCGGGGTTCGACTGGCCGCAGGCCCAGGGCGCCCACACCCCTCCCCCACCTCCCGGCCCCGGCAACCTCGGCCGGAGCCTTCTCCGAGTCGGTTGAGGGCGACCGAGGCCACCTGCCGCTCCGCCGCTGAGGAAGAAAGTGGTCGACTGCCACTCCCTCCAGGGGAGCTGAGCCGAAAACTTCTCGGGGAGACGCCTCGGAAAGCTCTCTCATTTGATCCCGGACTAATAAAAGGGCCCCAGGGCCACAGGGCCGTGAGTGCCGACCCGGGACGCGTCCGCACCCTCCCGCCTCCTGGCCCGGCTCGGACTTTCCCGCTGACCCCGAGCCGGGCGCGCCGCGCTCCCCTTCCAAAACCCCCGAGCCCCTCCGCCAGTGCGCCGAACCCCGCGTGTCGCGGGGTCGCAGGAACCTCTCAGACCCAGTCCCTAGGCCCGTCCTGAGGCCGCCGGGGTAACCCGACAAGAGAGAGCCTGCGAGGGGCTGCCCTCCACCACCGCCACGCCGCCGTGCGCCCCGGCGCGCCCCAAGCTGGCCTGACTGGGCGTGGAGACCAACCCGGAGCAGGGTCGGAGCCCCACGCCCCCGGCCAACCCGCCCGGGAAGGCGGCGCAACGCAGCCCTCAGCTCCACTCACCTCCAGCAGCTCCTCTCAACCTGCGGCGCGCGCCGGCCGCTCGCCGCCTCGCCCGCGGCTCAGGGACCTCGGAGAAGGGGGCGGGGCGCAGGGGGCGGAGCCGGCCCCGGGCTAGCGAGCGCCAGAATTAAACCCCGAAAGTACCGGATCAACTCGGGCCCCGCTGCAAAGGCAAGGAAGTCGGGGACGACCCGCAAGCCTCCGACTCCGGGCGGGAAACGGCTGCCGCTGCGTCCCGGAGCGGAACGGAGGGACAGCTCGGGCCTGCAAAACCCCAGGCGGCTCTCGGGACCTCAAGGAACCCTGGCTTTCGGCGGCGCTCTCTTTGTACCCGCGCGAGCCGGCCGGCGGGCAGACTCCAGTGCGCCTGCGCACCGATCAGACTCCACCAGGCCCACGGGGCACCTTCGCGCACCTCCGCCGCCTCACCCCGGTCCGCTGGCTTCTGCACCGCGAGCAGCAGGCAGAGCCGCTCCTTCCGCCCCGGCACGCTCCTGCTGCAGCTGTGTGTTTACTTTCTTTCCCCGAGGGAGAGGGAAAAAAATCCATCCCTAGTGAGACGTGCGTCAGTTCGATTCTATCAGCTCTTACCCGGAGGGGTACCGGGAAGCGGGAGGCTGGCACTGGTAACACGCCGGCGTAGCGCCTTTTACTGGCCCCTCCCTCCTCACCAGCTAAAGAAATTGATCAGGGACTGTCGGCTTGTTTCCTGGCCCCTGGTGACAGCGGGACTCTGGAGCATGCAGGGATTGGTTTTCTGCAGGTGTCTGAGCTGGACGAGCCGTGTCCTCCGTGTGTTCGCGCCGGCTCAGCTGCAGGTCGGAGTCCTCTGTGAAAAGGACAGAATGCATGTGCAAAAGGGTGTAGGTGTTGTGGGGACTTCAAAGAAGACGCAGTGCATGGTTAGGCAGCTTAGAAACGAACTAGGAAGTCAGACACTCTCAATCCACAGCAAGCTAAGCGGGTGCAAGGGAGGCTTTGACTTGGATCTTCTTTCAAATTGAAGATGGTTTGAATAAACAGGACAGGAGGACCGACAAATATTACCAAGAAACACTAATGCCAGCTCTCCAATCACTGATTTTTCTTAAGCTCGACACGGGTCTGTTCACCCACTAAGGTCTCCAGAGCAGCACACCTCCCGGAGGGGCTTTAGGCAGTCACAATATTTTAGCAAGTAGGTTAAAACGAAGAGTCATTACGAGATGCTAGCCTCTGGGGAGAAGAGGCTCTGAAATCCCTATATGTTCACAGCAAAGCACACCTGCAGATTCCTGAAACCGATGGCCCTTGCCTGTGAAGGCAAGCGGAGGACAGCTCAAAGATACATGGCGGCCTGAAATCTCACTTAAAAAGCTCAGACCCTTTGCAGGCTCATCAGGTGACAGTAAACAAACTCTTTTCCTTCTCCTTGACCTCCGTTTCTTTATTTGTAGAATAGGCTATGTGGATTCAATAGATCTTCTTTAAAATTCCCCCTGCCCCAAATGTCTATGATTCTATGTAAACAATACTTTTATTGTTTATTGTTTTATTGAGATGGTTGGATGGCATCACCAACTGGATGGATATGAGTTTGAGCAAGCTCCAGAAGTTGGTGATGGACAGGGAAGCCTGGCGTGCTGCAGTCCATGGGGTCACAAAGAGTCAGACACGACTGAGCCACTGAACTGAACTGAAACAATACTTGTTCCCAAGCGGGGTCCTGCATACACAAAGGATGCCACCCATCCTTTTTTTCTCCTTGCTTACATTTACTCAGTAAACATTTATTTCATACGTCCTATTGGCTCAGTGGTAAAGAACCCACCTGCCAATGCAGGAGACACAGGTTGATCCCTGGATGGGAAAGATCCCCGGGAGAAGGAAATGGCAAGCTACTCCAGTATTCTTGCCTGGGAAATCCCATGGACAGAGGAGCCTGGTGGGCTACAATCCACGTGGTCGCAAAGAGTCAGACAGACTGAGTGACTAAACAACAACAAATGAAGATAAATCTAATCAATCAAAACTATGGCATGTGTGCTAAGTCGCTTCAGTTGTATTTGACTCTTTGAGACCCCATGGACTATAGCCTGCCAGGCTCCCCTGTCCATGGAATTCTCCAGGCAAGAATACTGGAGTGGGCTGTCATTTCCTCCTCAAGGGGCTCTTCCCACCCAGGGATTGAACCCACGTCTTTTATGTCTCCACACTGGCAGGTGGGTTCTTTACCACTAGCATCACCTAGGAAGTCCCCCAAAGTATGGCAGATTCTGAACTTTTAGCAGGCTTATATTTGAAGTTTTCTTTATTTTTAGTCATTTTTCTATTGAGATGCAATTCACATAGCATAAGATTTGCTCTTAAAGTGTATAATTTTGTGATTTTGAATATATTTAGTTATGCGACCATCATCACTATCTGATTCCAGAACATTTTCATCATTTTCAATAACAAACTCCATACTCATTAGCAGTCACTCCTCACCCACCCCCTTAGCCCCAAGCCACCACTAATCTGCTTTCTGTTTCTATGAATTTGCCTATTCTGGACATTTCATATAAATAGAAGCATGTAATATGTAGCCTTTGGGTTTGGCTTCTTAAACTTAACATTTGTAGGGTTCAACCAAGTTGCCACATGTATTAGTACTTCATTCCTTTTTTTCTTTTTACTTCATTTCTTCTTATAGTTGAATAATCTTCCACTGTATGGATAAGACCACATTATGTTTATCCATTCATACATTGATGGGCATTTTGGATTGTTTCCACTTCTTGGCTCTTAAGAATAATGCTGCTTAGACATTCGTGTACAATTTTTTGTGTAAACACATCTGTTCATTTCTCTTGTGTGCATGTCTAGGAGTAGAATTTCTTGGCTAAACTTTTTGAGGAACTAATACCCTTTTCCAAAGTGGCTGTACTATTTTACATTCCTATTATGAGGGTTCTAATTTCTCCAAATCCTTACTGACTGTTGTTATATATGTATGGTAGGTGGTAGTTCAAGATTTTAATGTGCATTTCCCTAATGACTAGTCATGTTTAGCATCTCTTCATATCCTTATCGGGGCCATTTGTATATCTTCTTTGGAGCAATATCTATTCAAATACTTTGCTCATTTTAAAATTGGATTATGTGTTCACTTCGGCAGCACATATACTAAAATTGGAACGATACAGAGATTAGCATGGCCCCTGCGCAAGGATGACACACAAATTCGTGAAGCATTCCATATTTTTGTGCACTGGAAAGACCCAGAGGGATGGGGTGGAGAAGGAGGTGGGAAGGGGGATCGGGATGGGGAATACATGTAAATCCATGGCTGATTCATGTCAATGTATGGCAAAAACCACTACAATATTGTAAAGTAATTAGCCTCCAACTAACAAAAATAAATGGAAAAAAAATAATATTGGGTTATGTGCCTTTTTACTGGTGGTCTTTATAAGAAGTCTTATATCTGATAAGTAACACTAGTCCTTTATCTGATATATATATTTGTTTTCTCCTATTATGTGGCTTGTCTTTTCACTTTCTTGATAGTGTCCTTTGAAGCACATATGTTTTTGACAGTCATATTTTTATAATACAAAATAATACTAACACATAACACTTAAGAGTTTTCTAGACTATAAAAGTGATTCATACCCATTATAAGAAAAAATTATAAAAATATAAAAAATAATAAAGAAAAATAACAATTACTGATGACTGTGTCCTAGATTGGGCCTTCTCTGGTGGCTCAGTGGTAAAGAATCTGCCTGCCAACGTAAGAGACACGGGTTTGATCCCTGGGTCAGGAATATTCCCTGGAGAAGGAAATGGCAACCCACTCCAGTATTCTTGCCCGGGAAATCCTGTGAATAGAGGAGCCTGGTGGGCTACAGTCCACGGGGTCACAAAAGAGTCAGACACAACTTAGTGTCTAAACACTAATAACTATCCTAGATATAGCCACTGTTAAGATTATAGCACATTTCCTTCAGGGCCTTTCTAACACTCATTATTGATTTATTTGATATCCCCCTCAATGGCATCATATGGCCCCACGCTCTATACTTGTGGTCATACTGAGAACTGTCTTCCTGGCAGCATCTCCATGTTCAGAACCTTCTCCTCTCCCTGCTTTCCCATCAAAGCCAATTTGTCCTGTGCCCACTCCCTCAGGATTCAGTTAAGGTAATCTAGTGTATTGATAATGAACATGATGATTATGCACACTTGGCAGTGAAGGAACATCTGCTCTAGTTCTGAGATATATTCTATCAGACCACTTACATTGTGGCCTTTCATGTGATGGTCATCTGCCATATACTAAGAACTATGTGTAAGTACCAGCAGCCAACTCTGACCTCCCTGAGCCTCAAGCTCCTTGTCTAGATAACGGGAGAATACCTACTGTGCCTGCTTCACCAACTACAGTAAGGATCAAACCTCACAGAATGAGTTGGGTCAGAATGGACCCTGGATATGCTACAGGTAAGAGCCTGGCACCTTAAGTGTCCCATACACTCAGGCCCAATAATGTACATGGCAGCAAGGAGAGATATCAGGAGAGAATCAGGAAGACATGGGAGGTCACCAAAGTTTGTTAAGACTTTGGTAAGGTCACCAAAGTTTACCAAATCTTAGGGGCAGGTAGAATTGGGACAGGCTCTGGAAGTAACTTTTTTTTTCCCCCTTCAGTTTTATTTATTTATTTATTTTTTACTTTACTGTATTGGTTTTGCCATACATTGACATGAATTCGCCATGGGTGTACACGCGTCCCCATCCTAAACCCCCTCCCACCTCCCTCCCCATCCCATCCCTCTGGGTCTTCCCAGTGCACCAGCCCTGAGCACTTGTCTCATGCATCCAACCTGGGCTGGTGATCTGTTTCACCCTTGATAGTATACTTGTTTCAATGCTATTCTCTCAGAACATCCCACCCTCGCCTTCTCCCACAGAGTCCAAAAGTCTGTTCTGTACATCTGTGTCTCTTTTTCTGTTTTGCATATAGGGTTATCGTTACCATCTTTCTAAATTCCATATATATGTGTTAGTATACTGTAATGGTCTTTATCTTTCTGGCTTACTTCACTCTGTATAATGGGCTCCAGTTTCATCCATCTCATTAGAACTGATTCAAATGAATTCTTTTTAATGGCTGAGTAATATTCCATGGTGTATATGTACCACAGCTTCCTCATCCATTCGTCTGCTGATGGGCATCTAGGTTGCTTCCATGTCCTGGCTATTATAAACAGTGCTGCGATGAACATTGGGGTGCACGTGTCTCTTTCAGATCTGGTTTCCTCGGTGTGTATGCCCAGAAGTGGGATTGCTGGGTCATATGGCAGTTCTATTTCCAGCTTTTTAAGAAATCTCCACACTGTTTTCCATAGTGGCTGTACTAATTTGCATTCCCACCAACAGTGTAAGAGGGTTCCCTTTTCTCCACACCCTCTCCAGCATTTATTGCTTGTAGACTTTTGGATAGCAGCCATCCTGACTGGCGTGTAATGGTACCTCATTGTGGTTTTGATTTGCATTTCTCTGATAATGAGTGATGTTGAGCATCTTTTCATGTGTTTGTTAGCCATCTGTATGTCTTCCTTGGAGAAATGTCTGTTTAGTTCTTTGGCCCATTTTTTGATTGGGTCATTTATTTTTCTGGAGTTGAGCTGGAGGAGTTGCTTGTATATTTTTGAGATTAATCCTTTGTCTGTTGCTTCGTTTGCTATTATTTTCTCCCAATCTGAGGGCTGTCTTTTCACCTTGCTTATAGTTTCCTTTGTTGTGCAAAAGCTTTTAAGTTTCATTAGGTCCCATTTGTTTACTTTTGCTTTTATTTCCAGTATTCTGGGAGGTGGGTCATAGAGGATCCTGCTGTGGTTTATGTTGGAGAGTGTTTTGCCTATGAAAGTAATTTCTTAATACTCATCTTCATCTCCCCCAACTTCAATTATTTTTTTTTTACAGTGGATGTATACCATAGTTAGCATTAAGATTTTTTTTAAGTTTTTGTCATTCTCAAATCTTTTACAGAGATGTGAAGGAGGATTTTTTGCTGTCTTCATGCCAGAGTGTTAAAAGTCAAAGTGGCAAGAAGGTTTGTGTGTGTGTGTGTGTGTGTGTGTGTGTGTGTGTGTAAGAGAGAGAATGCATGCACAGACCTGAGCACAAGTGAGTCTCCCTCAAAGGGCAGGTGAGCCGTGGGGCAGGGGACTGTACCACTAAGAGAGTGGATTCACCACCTGCAGTTACTTTGCCAGTGCCAATCTTGGAAGTTTCCTAAGGGAAGTTGTGTGTTCCCTCGCCCTTGCCCAAGGTCTGACTGCAGCTAAGGAGTCTTCTTTTTAAGGAACATTTTTAATATTACAAAACCTTAGTCTCTGACTCACAATCTGGAAGACTTATCTTCTGCCAGTGGCTCTGTGGTTTCCTCTTCCAAAAGAGAGCTTCAGCTTCTGTGGCTGGAGAAAGCTAAAATAGAGAAGCAGAAGGGAATGGCCCATACAGCTGGCTTCTGCTTCTTTCTATATCCCAAAGCTCATAATTCACATTTAACTAGTTGGTTTACTGCTTAGTTAGAAGCATTACAAAGCTTATGAAATGAATGTAAAATAATCTAATTGCCAACTGTCATCAGAAAACACATAAGGCAATGATTATCTAAATCTAGAAAGAAAAGAAGGTCTCATCTATTTCAACCTGTAATGGTTCCTGAAAATGACTGCTTGAAAGGTAAAGGACTCATCATCAACTCACTTGCTTTCGTTATTTTACAAAGCAAGTTAGGGTTCAGTCTGCAATAGACTGAAGCCCTTTGTGAATATGTTTTATATGTTGCAGAAGGACTTAACCCTAGTTCAGGAAATTTAAGCTAACAGCAATCTGTATTCATGATGATAATCATTATATCATTGTTACTATTATAAAATATTTACAGAGCATTCAAAGGTGTATGACATTCTCCTAGGATGCTAGGTGGAGGGATTATGTGTACAAGCCTATCCCTGCAGAACCACTATATTTAGAACAATTATTTATTTAACAGATATTTACTGAGGGTCTACTGTACCCAAAGGATTGTGCTAATTTTTATAAAAGACACAAAGATGAAGAATTCCAAGAGACTACCTGACATTTCGGGGTGTTAACACATACACTATAACACATTAACTGTAATATAATAGACTTTGGCTTGAAAGATATAAGTATTAATAATGTAAGTATTATAGCTACTATAATACTTATATTTAATTTATTTATAATATATAATACTTATAGCAATATAGCATTATTATATTTAAAAATTTTAGTAATTGATAGCACTTATTTTTTTTGATAGCACTTATTAAGAACTTGCTTGTCGACATACAGATTGCTAATAAACTCAAGAAAAGATGCTCAACATTGCTCATTATTAGAGAAATGCAGTTCAAAACTGCAATGAAGTATCACCTCATACCAGTCAGAATGGCCATCAACAAAAAACCTACAAACAATAAATGCTGGATAGGGTGTGGAAAAAAGGGAACCCTCTTGTACTGTTGGTCGGAATGCAAATTGACACAACCACCATGGATAACAGTATGGAAATTCCTTAAAAAAAAACTAGGAATTAAACTATCATATGAGCCAACAATCCCACTGCTGGGCATATACCCTGAGGAAACCATAATCAAAAAAGGGACATGTACCCCAGTGTTCACTGCAGCACTATTTACAATAACTAGGACGTGGAAGCAACCTAGATGTCCACTGACAGATGAATGGATAAAGAAGTTGTGGTATATATATATACACAATGGACTATTAGTCATAAAAAGGAACACATTTGAGTCAGTACTAATGAGTTGGATTAAACTAGAGCCTATTAAATGAGTGAAGTAAGTCAGAAAGAGAAAGACAAATATCATATAATAAGGCATAGAAATGGAATCTAGAAAGATGGTACTGATGAACCTTTCTGCAAGGCAGCAGTGGAGATGCCGGCATAAGGGAATGGATTTATGGACAGGGGGTGAGGAGGAAGAACTGAGAGAGTAGTTCTGAAACATATGCATTACCATGTGTAAAATTATTATGTTGGTGCAAACGTAATTTTGATGTTGCATTGTTGAACATTGCAATTTGATATTAGAATACATTCTTCAATAAATGTGGTTATGTTATTAAAAAAAAAGAAGAACTTGCTTCTCCTGTGAGATAGACATGACTATTATTCACAATTTACAGAAATGAAGATGGAACTTTAGAGAGGTTCAAATACCTGCAGGAAGCCACCACAGAGGCAGGACTCTAACCCAGGTTGCAGGAGTGCAGAGCCAGGTCTCAGCACTGATTCTTCCAGCTAGGACAGCACGTGCATTACATTGTTTTGTTTTGCTTTTGCAACCATGTTAGCGATAAACTTTGAGTTGAGTTACTGTCGCTGAAGCCTTTTCTTCTTTGGCAAGGAAACCCTGACCCAGTGCCCTTTTGACCTTGACCTCACAGCACCATTCTCTAACCCTGGAGTTTTCAGACAACTGAGCTCTCTTTTGAGCCTTGGAGACCT